AATACGTTCCTCCGTTTATTGATTAAGAGAGGGTTTTGATTTTTGTTTGAAGCTTAAATTTAAATTAGATATTTATATAGGTATGTTCAAGTAAAAAAATCAAAAGTTCTATGGCAGTACCCTATGCATTCGGGCATATGATGCTACATATCCCACCTTTTTCATCTATAATTCTATATCTATTATAATATAAACGTTATATTTGACTAGAAACTGTTTGGGCTAATTGACCTGCTTTGTTAAGCTCGACACCAACATACTGCATTACAGCTAAGTGAGTCCAGCATACCATACAACATTATTCGGCTAGCGCTAGACAAAGCGATAAGGGTTGTACTTTGGTCTTTGCAGAACGTTAATTTACATTACTTGAACTTCAGTATAGGTATAAAACCAGGCAAATAAAGACAAATAGTTGTAAGTTTTTGAAATCAGTTCGTATCGAAATGGGGTTTTTGGCATAGTGTTCAGAAAAACACAAAGAAAGGTGCTGTGCAATACTGGTCCAACCATTTTTTGAAAATTGCGTAAGGGGTACAAAAGTGCAGATTTGCCATCGAAATTCCCCGGGAATGTCCAGGGGTGGCGATACGGGAGAGGTGTTAAAAATATCAATTTAGATACAATACACACAAAAAACCCTGAGCAGTCCCGAGCAATGTAAAGGGCAGATATGTATGCAATTTTTAAGCGATTTTTCGGGCTCTCCATACATGTTCATAATTTTTATGTATTTTTGCACCCGTTATGCAATTTTCAAAAAATGTCTAGACTACCAGTATTGTACAACATTTTTCCTAGTACATATTTTTCTGAACTCTATGCGGAAACATTTCGATACGAACTGATTTTACCAATATCGAGTAAAATTTCCCTGATCTAAAAGTGCAGCCAATTTCTGTTATGCTTCTTGTACAATTTTGTAGTAGTCGTGTGTGAAATTCTTATCGTAAAAAAACGAAAAAACTACAAATTTTAAAACATCGAGTATAGGACGGGACGGTATAGGCGTGAAGTTCCATTCTATATATTTTAACGATAAGAGCACAACAACTGCATGGCACAGTAAAATAACACGAAATGAACACAATATTATTATACAGTCAGAAAGAAGTTTGAAATATCAAGATCAATTTCACTTTATCTTTAGGTAGCAATTGTAGGATTACTTGTATGCCTTTTAAACATAATTTCCCAAATACACCTACAAACATTTTTGATGTACAACAAAAATTACAACCCCGGACTTGAATATTGCTATATACGTAATAGCGAATTTTCTTAAAAATTACGAAATTATAAAACAGCAACGAATCTTATTTTTACTTGTAGCTTCTTTATTCAAATTTGCCAAAAGAAACAAAAACAACAGAAATTACAACCTCCGAAATTGAATATTGCTATACTGGGTATCAACGAGACAACTATTAGACAAGCCTTTTAGGTGATCTCAGAAAATTACAATCGCAAAGTTTTAGTTTTAGAAATAAAACAATTTGGTAAAATTACATTTTCGTGTCTAACTAGTATTTTCAAATAGAAACCCTTTTTTGACAAGCACTTTCCGAAAAAAGAATTTTTTGACGAATCCAACGATGTTAATTTAGACTCAGAAATCCAAAAATGTAAAAATATACATTCAAAACCTGGACGATTTCCGGTAAAACAGGAAGTGAGCGGACAGAGAAAAATATGCGAAAACTTATAAGGGGTGGACTTATAGAAATCTAACATAAAAGGTCACTGAGGGCATAAGGGGGTGAGTGACTACAATATAGATTCAAGCAGTTTTAATGAGCTGTTCTTATACAAACGTTTACTATTAGAAAAAATTTATCATTTTACGCAAACATTGGAGCTCAAATTCCGGGTACGAAACGGTTACCTGTTGGATATAAGGGGTGGATTCACGGCAATCTAAGATAAAATGTCAACGGAGGCATACGGGGGTGAATGATTATGGGATTTACTGAATTATAATTACTGGTTCTTTACTGTTAAAGCGAATATATTATTTCACGTAAACATTGGAGCCCAAATACAGGGAGATTGGCATAAAACGTTTACGTGATGGTGTCTAAGGGATGCACTCACGGAAATGTGAACTAAACAATCAAGGGAGGAATATAGGGGTAAGTCGTTATGGGATTCAAGGAATTCTATGGGTGGTTCTTACATATGCATCAACTACACTATAAGAAAGAATTTAAAATTTTTAGTAAAAATTGAAACTCAACTACAGGGTAGATTACCACAAAATGTCACTTGTTGGGTGTAAGGGATGCCCTAATGGAAATAAGAAATAAAAAATAAGAAAGGAATGTAGGAGTAGGTAAGACAATGTAGTGTTCAAGCGGTTTTAATGAATGGTTCTTATACAAATTTATCATTCTAATTGAAGGTTGGAGCTCAAGTTCAGGGTAGATTATCACAAAAAATGTATCTGTTGGATATATGGGGTGGATCTAAAAGCAAAAGTCACTGACGGCATATGGGAGTGAGTGACTATGAGATTCAAGCAGTTTTAATGAGCGGTTCTTATTTTACAAACGCGTACTATAAGAACGAAGTTATTATTTAATGTAAACATTGGAGCTCAAATACAGGGTAAATTGTCACAAACTGTTTACCTATTAGATATAAAGGTGCGCTCATGCATATCTAAATTTAAAATCAATTGTAACAAGTAGTTCCCATACAAAAGCTACCGTTGGAACGAATTTATCACTTTTCGTAAAAACTGGAACTCAAATAAAGGGTAGATTATCACAAAATATCACTTGTTGGGGTATAAGGGGTGCACCAATGAAAATAAAAAATAAGGAAGGAATGTAGGGGTATGTCATTATAGGATTCAAGAAGTTTTGATTAGTGGTTCTTATACAAAATTAACTTTAAGAACAAATTTATCATTTTTCGTCAAGATTTGGGCTCAAATACAGGGTGGGTTACCACAAAATGTTTACCTGTTGGATATAAGGAGTGCACTCGAGGAAATCTAAAATAAATTTAAGTGTAAGGGTTTTTAGTGCATAAGTGAATCAATGTGTAGGTTCCAGTGATTTTAGTCTGTATTATTAGTTACGTATGCTTTTGTGTAAGAATTTATGGTCAAGGGCGGAGTAAATGTTTATTAAACTAATAGTAAATATAGGTACACAATTGCCGTATTAGCTAAAATATTAAAGATTAATATGGGAGTCCCTCGACTGTATAAAATCCCTCCTTTTAATTTGATGATGATATATTTATAGATAGTTTCATTGTTTTAGCTGTACCGCCTAGATTATTATATACCAATTTGTGGTAATTAAGGCAATGTAGTGTAAGTAAATGTAGTACCTAATTGAAAATGTTCATTTTTTTGAAACCGTAATTTATTATATTGTTATAAACAGCTTACGCACACACCCTACTAACTTAAAATTATGGGGGTATGTCCTTACTCCCATCTAGAAAAGGAGAAAATTGTCCTGTATTGATTCAAAAGTGGACATGTGCGAGCATTTTTTCAATGTTCTTATAATGCCGAAAGAATCGGTGGAAAAGTTTCGATTGGCGCAGGTTGCATGCATGTAGGTCATATTCTTCATATCAAGGGCTGCATTAAATTAATTTATTTGCTTTCTCTTTCGTTCTCGTGCACCTCTAGCATAAAGTAATCGTTCTATTAGGAATATTTGAAGGAAAGGTTTAACGAATATTTTGGACAGGCGTAATGTTTCCTTTCGGGAATCGCATTTAATGAAATTTTGAACATCAATCACTGTCTGAAACTCTTAATCCTCAGAGATCATGAAGGTTTACTTCCGCATTCATCGGAAAAGCTATTACACCTTCATTGTTTTAACTCTTTTTCGTATTGATTTCTACGTAAAATGATGAACTGACTCGTTCATTCCCTTTTTGTGAACCGTACATTAGTTATTTGTCAACATCTAGGTACGAAAAAATTAACTGTATAGGGAGGGTGATGGATACGATCACAAATTGCCCTTTGTGTACAATACGTTATTTTTAAGGGGTATACACTAGGGTACAGTATTAACCAAATTAAGGACAATGAACTACAACCAAAGAGTATACGTTATATAGTCTTTCATCTTTGGTAAAAAATTAGATGTATAATATTTACGGAGATTCACTATGTGCACATTCAGGTATATTTCCAATTGTTTCCAGTACCTACATCAGTGACATTACTTCTGGCCTTAGACAATCTGAACCTTATGCTAATGCTAAGTTATAATAATGTACGAAAAACTACTATTTGCCTTCTCCAACTCAACCTGCATATTTATATGCGCAACTTCAACGACTGCTAGTTATGCTTCACTTTCAATTTTTTAGGTAATTCATAGGTAATTTCGGTTGGCGGAGTATTACAAATTAATTTTGATAAATTTTGATATAAAAACACTTACATAATTAAGGACTGTAGGTGCTTCTTCTGGGTTGGTTCTTGGTTGGAACAGTGTAATTTTTTTTTTTTTTTTGCTTGGACCAGTGGTCATTCAACCAGCTACGTTATGTATTTGTTTTTTAATTTACAAAGTTATATTTCCATCTGCTAAAAATTGAGTGTAAATAAGCCTCAAGGCATTGGATTAGCTTTAACTATAAGTTTGAGGAAAAAATATGTTGTCTGGGAGTCCGTGACCCGACGGTAGAAAGATGAAAACTTAAAAAATGGCACTTAAAGGTTTTTTTTGGAGCGTAAACAATCTAACCGAATTTTTGTATTTTAAATAAATCCGAAAATAGTGATTGCTCCCTATTATTTAAATTACATATTGATTAATATCGAGAAAAGGAGCTGCTCCATCCACCCGGTCTTAGTATCTAACCTACAATTAAAGTGGGGTTTCGAGTAAACCCAAATAGTCTCATATGGACATCGAATGAAACGTTTTAAATCTGTTACACTACGCCTTACGATGTTTGCTAACATTTAATGTTACTACACCCAGTATCAAAATCAAAATCTAATTTCGTTTTAGCGGCCCTGGGCAGAGTAGCAAAGGTTCTGGGAACATACGGAATGCCCGTAATAACGCCTGGAGGTTTTGTGTTTGACTTCACAGCCAGGAAAAATGAATGCACGGATGAATTCTACATGTTAATCAATTCTGGCCCCGTTGATTATCGATCGTTTGCCGAATTTTTTATCAAGCTTTTTGAACGGTATTACTTAACTCGTGTGAATTACCTTAAGATGCAAACCACTTTTTAGGTATAATTGGCAAAAAATTTCTTTGGTGTATGAAAAACTCGATCAAAATGATGTTGGTGGCCTTAGAGCGTGTCAGCTGCTCATGACGAGCGTGATAGAAGTCGGTATTGAAATACACAAATTTTTGTATGCCGATGGAGACTTAATGTTGTATGGTTTGACGTACAGAGAATATTTAGAAAAAGAGATCGGTACCAAGTATGGAAGTAGGTAAAAGATTGCACCATTTTATCGCCCCATTCAAATAAAAGGATATATTTCATTTCAGTTGTATTGCTGTGCACCAGTCACGAAAACACGAGACGAATTATGTTGGAAGCGGAGAGTTTAAAAATGATGGAGAAGGGAGAGTATGCATTCTTCAACTTTGAATTGTATAATAGGTAGGTATTAGCTAACAATTGTATGAAACTTAATTGAGGAATTACAGTAATACGCTTTTTCCTGAACAAAAATGTAGTTCTGGTCCAAAAGTCCAGGTTGTCTTCGCTGACTAACTTGGTCAATTTTTTTACGATTATATATTCTGTTCCATTTTCTGCGGATAGGGGCTTAGAAAACGTACCTATATCCTTGGTGCGTTCCACGTCAGAGGTTTTGGGAAAATGACTATGAATCACGACTGCGGACTAGACTTGTCAGCTTCCTAGCTTGAGCTAGGTAGCTATTGCGATCGCCTTTTTTTGATTTTGATATTAAGATGTATGAATGCACCTACGTACATTGGCAATTTTCCGAGATAACGACGGCTCTTTAAAATTGTTCAAACGGGGAAAAAATCAAAGTTCGAATATTTTTGTCGTCTCGTTAAAGTTTTGCCAATGTACATTAGGCATAAAGACTATCCAACACTTTTTTTAATATCTGGTTTACAATCTGTTCTGTCAAGAATTTGGCATCTGGGTTTTTATCGCTTTCCGCGTAAATCAATTTATTGAATAGCTCTCGTATTTCAAAGACCCGCTTTTTAATTCACAACGTTAATTTTTCCCCAAATTTTCCGTTTTTTTTTAAATCAGGGTGGTACTTACTATACATTTTTTTGTTTTAGTGCTCCCGACCCTTTACGACCGTGGTATAATTCAAGCGACAGCGAGGAAGAAAACGAGAGAGCTAAAAATGCGTATCGAGCACTGTATACGTTCACTCCATTAGTAGAAGCGAAAAACGCGCAAAATGGCCAAATTTCTACATTACCAAAAGGAGACTTCTATTTAGATGGCGTGTACGATGGATTTCTGCTATACGCGCATATTCTCAATGACACTATAGCGTCTGGAGGCCGAAACAGAGACTTCGTAATAAAAGGCGACGACGTCATGAGTAAAACGTTTGGAAAACGTTTTCCAGGTTACATTTTGTTTACATTAACTAAGTGTCACTTTTCAAACGTTCCAATTGGAAAAAAACGAAATAGTGGCACTTATTTGCAGGAATACCCATGATAATTGTTTTTATAGGGAGGAGTGAGGAAGTTGTTATGAACTGCAACGCCCAACGTGTGTCAGCGTATGCGCTCACCCAAATCAATTCTTCAGGATTGTCCCATATTGTAGCAGAATACTATACCATAAATAAATCGATCGTGGATGTAAGAGAAATTCAATGGATCTCTGGGAAACCGCCTCTGGATTCCCCTGTTTGCGGTTTTGACGACTCGTTGTGTCCATGTTGGTAAATTACTTGCGATGTCTCCAATTAATATTATCTTTCCGTAGCGGAAATCAACATCACATTAATAGTTGTTAGTGTAAGTGTAACGATAGGATTAATAATACTTTCTGTATTTTTATACAGGTAACATCTAGAGCTTAGCCATCATTAAATGACCGATTAATTTTAGGCACTATAAGCTAGAATATGAATTAGCTTCAATGACCTGGAAGGTGAATTGGGAAGATATTGTGTGGATACCACATGTGAAGCGTCGGAACAGTACCTACTCCACCGAATCTCTTAATTGGAGCAAAAGAGGCAGCCAAACGGTAAAATGTTTATTTGAACGCAAATACGGATTAATATTCACTGTCCTATTATAATATTGTTTGTTTTCGGTAGACAACGAATATTATCACATTACGTATTTTCCAGACAATAATTCTATCGGAATACGAAGCATTCAGTTTAGCTGGAGATCGCCACCTTTACACAACTGTGGGGTACTACAAAAATCTTATCACGGCCGTGAAACGCCTAAAGGACACCAAGATTGTTCTAAACCGCGATCAATTGCTCGAACTGAAAATAATGAAAGATTTCTCGAATGACCATTTAGTGAAATTTTACGGAGCGTGCGTCGATCCTCCACACTGCTGTATATTAACCGAATACTGTCCCAGGGGAAGTCTCCAGGATATACTAGAAAACGAGGAAGTGCAATTAGATGGGCTCTTTAAGCTATCTTTAATTCAAGACATAACGAAAGGGATGCTGTACATACACGACAGTGAAATTAAATATCACGGTTCGTTAAAATCATCAAACTGCGTTGTAGATAGTAGATTTGTATTGAAAATAAGCGATTTTGGTTTGCATTTTTTACGAGTTCACATGAGGGATGAATCTATCGATGAAAATTCTCATTCATTTTGGCAACGTAAGCTTAAGGAAGTCAAGCTTTGAATGCTACGAAATTTATTTTTAGGTCAACTGTGGACCAGCCCTGAACTGTTGCGGAACGAGAGTTCTACTCCCGTCGGATCTCAGAAAGGAGACGTGTATTCGTTCGCGATTATCGTTCATGAAATAGTTACACGACAAGGAGTGTTTTATTTAGGGGAAAATAGCAAAACGTCTCCAAAACGTAAGTTTTACAGAAACTAAGAATAATGTGTTTACAAAACAACGTTAGAGATAACGTGCGTTTTTCGTGGCTTTCGCCTTTGAACTGTATGAACCGGAGGGTCGCAAGTCTCTTGAGAGATTCTAGGTTGGGTTACACTCATCTATTGGAATTGTCAAACTCCAACCACTAGGGCCTAACATCATTCACTACACCTTTTTTGCAGTTAAAAGATGAATTATCAACGATCCAGATGCTAAATTGTCAAGAAATGTCCCAAATACAAACACATACATAAAAGAAACTCATTAAATAGGAGACCCCATCCAACGAGGTTTGTAGAATAAGCTTTGATTATAAAACTTCCCTCAAAGGAATAAAGGTCTCAATTTCGCCGCACTCGTGCTTATCTCTTAATTTTCTGTGATGAATCCATTTTGGACTTTTGAGAAGTTTTTCTGAAAAGAAGTAAGCATAATTAACTGAAAGTTCAAATGTCACGTTGCTTACGTTTAATGGAAGACGCTTTATCTCTCTATAATTTAAAATGTGCCTGAGGCAATTGGCACGGTAGGTATTGATGGTGGCTACATTGTATGCACGTTGATCAAATTATTTTTTTGGAAATAAGTTCTACTGTGATCACTTCTGCTTGTTGCCAAGGATAGGATAGAGTCAAATCTATATAGTCAATTTTTTTATATTCCGTCAATGGGCAATGTGTGGCAAATGCCTTTGTAGCATTGAATAAAAACACTATTGTAGTGATAACTTACTGAAGTCGCATGGTGTCCACAATCCCACTATGATAATTCGCGATATTGTAGACCGTTGCGGCGTCTTAACAAAATAACAAAAATGAAGCAAAGGCTTATGATTATGACATTTCATTGATAAACAGAAATTTAACGTTACATTGAATATACAAAAGGTGTTAACTGTTCAGTCATTAAAAACCGACTGCCGACTCTCTATTTTTAGGGCAGGTAAGAAAACGCCCGTCGCTAGGTCGTAGGTATACCGTCGTTAGCTTTAGGTACCTATCCTAAGAAATTCGTAACAGGCAAAAATACACAGAACAATTAACCGAAATTTACTTATGTCACTAGTGAACCCAATTTATATAGATTCGATGTTTTTATGAAAACCGTAAATGATAAAAATGCATCTCTCACTAAGCTAGAATTGAACGTTTTTCGAAAATTTAGGGAAAATAGTTTTATCTTGTTTTCAAGCCTATTCACTATTCCCTGTATAGGTTAGCAAGCCAATAATTTATTGACAGTCAAGGGATGTATTATTTAACTTCATTGATTTTCTCTCCTTTTTGTGTTTAAAAACAACTATACATCACTGTTAGTTGTGTATGAAATCGAAACGTACACAACGTACGTGATAGATCCGAATCCTTAATCGGATTAAAAACGGCGCGTGACAAGAAAACGTCCGTGATTCGGTTCACTATAATCATGCAATGCTTCCTGATGCAAATCCGTTGATTTACAAAAATTGCCACGCAGCATAATTTATAGAATTTTCCGAGGATTCAATTAATAATTAAATTGTTATTCAAAATTATGCCCTTGTGTGCACTTATCCGGATTTGATAAGACTTTGTTAATTATTCCATTCATTGTAGACACGTGTAAGTTATTCAAGTAGAAGTAGTGATCATGAATGTTAAGGGTAGGTAATTGGTTTGAAGATATTGCTAGCAGCTCAAGCACGTGCATTTAATATCAATAAGTAATGCATGTATCCGACGTAATATGGATTGTTAGTATTAAAGTATGTAAACGACATATATGGGTTATCTCCTTACATCACGATGTTATCCAGTTTTCATTCGTGCAAATCTACATTTTAAAATGGCCGTTAGAATTGCTTTTCAATAAAACTATTTCGCCGCTCCTAATACGTATAAAAACCTATGAAATCAAAAAAAGTAACATTCTAGGAAGTTTCGAGACCAAGATCACAAAGCTCCATCAAGTTAGCCCCCGCAAATTAAAAAAAAATGTGTAATGACCATTTTTATATAGTGCTAGGGTTGTGCTAAATTGTGCTGATTCGATTTTAATTTGTGCTGATCTGGCAAATCAATTTTTTTTAATTGAAACGCGGGGGCCAATTTGACTCCCAGCCCCCCGGTTTTTTTAACGTACAAATTCCATTACTACTTTAACGAGTTGTGCTCGATGCATATTGGATTGTGCCGGCCAAATATTCGAAAATAGTCTTCCGGTACACGGTAGTTTCTGCACTCAAATCTCGGGAGCCAACTTGACTCTCAGCCCCCACGTTTTTTAGAAATATGGAATTCTAAATAAGGTCAATCAATTGTGCTCACTGCATATTGGATTGTGCCGTTCAAATATTCGACAATAGTTTTACGGTACACGGTAGTTCCTGCCTTTAAATCTCGGGGGCCAATTTGACTCTCAACCCCCCTGTTTTTTTAACGTACAAATTCCATTACTACTTTAACGAGTTGTGCTCGATGCATATTGGATTGTGCCGGTCAAATATTTGAAAATAGTGTTCCGCTACATGGTAGTTCCTGCACTTAAATCTCGGGGGCCAACTTGACTCCTAGCCCCCACGCTTTTTACAGATATGGAATAAGCAATAATGGCAATCATTTGTGCTCGATGCTTACTGAATTGTGCCGTACAAACTTTTGAAAATAGTCTTACGATACCCCATAGCTCGCGTACACAAATGTTGGTGGTCATCTTGACTCTCAGCCTCCACGTTGTGTATTCACGAACTGTGCGCTCTAGAGGTACCCGTAGATTCTCCTCTACGTTTACGGCCGCCAACGAAATAAAATGAATGTATGTTTTTTATTTTTTTATTTTTTTATTATTTTAGCCTTTATTTTTAAGTGGGCGGGGTTTCAGTCGACGCTGCTCTACCAACCCAACCCACTATACATTTACAAATATCCATGCCCGAATCCGGATTCGAACCAGGGACCCTGTACCGCGCAGTCGAGCTTCCAGTGAACTGCGCTACACGGGCCGGCTATGATGAAATTCTTGTGACCCATTCTTGATTCTGGATTACGATAGGAAGGTAGACAGGGTCCACGCGTACCTACGCCTCAAATTCGGGCCCTTTGTACTACCTATCTGACTAGAGTCGTTCGACCCCTCAACGTCACTCAAGCCATCCCACACCTGAGATGAATCTAAGGATGCTGGAAGGGGAGGCGGCTCTAATCATCGTAGCCATGTCCGGTCAGGACACCCTTAACATAGATCGTCTGAGTTGGACTAGAGCGAGGCATTCAACAAAGTATGTGGTGTGCCGTTTCATCGTCCGTGTAACTTCCTCTACAAGATAGTGATTCTATCAAACCCATGCGGTGCATGTGTTTGTTTTGTTTGCAGTGCCCAGAAAGTATTCCAACGAATAACCTCAGGTTCTTTCTTGATAGCCCTGTGAAAAAGCGCCCCAGGTTACGAGATGGTCCTTTGAAGGCTTCTCTCGCATCGCGACAATCTAACATCATGTTCCATCTAACCCTGTGCTGGGTTTAGGTGTCCTGAGTTATTAAGTTGTTTACAGTTGCAGCTGTAAGTGGAAGAGCCGGCTCCGGACCATAAAACACCTGTTTTGAGGTCAGTCGGGCTAACCCATCGGCTTTCTCATTACCTTCCATTCCAGCATGCCCTTTGACCCATGCGTGCTGCTTGCTACACAGGATAGTTTTGTGCATAAGAACTTTTCTTGCACTAAGGGTTACCAACTCTGATTGGAATACAGTAAGAAGCTTGCCTAGTGGTTGGGTGATATGGAAGTTCAGTTCGTTGGAGTAAATACCAGTGCCTGTTCCTTCCATTGTTTTAGATCCATCTGTGAAGATGAATATGTCGGGTTAGGATGCCACATCCTCATCAAGGAAAATGTGGTAGTTTTCCCCTAATATGAATTGAGGAGTATGTCCAGTTGTACCACCAAAATTAAGCCTTGCTTGTAAAGTTAAGTCGAACTTAAAATCTATGGCAACGATTATTAAGACAATCGTTGCTATGGTATTTAAGTTATGCTTAACTTTAAGTGATACTTAATTTTGACGGTGCAATTGGCCATTAGAGTCCGATTGCTCTTCTAGGGCACGTAATCGCTTAATCGCCTCGCCCAGAATTCAAGAATGTAGAATATTACTATGTATTACATATTATATTATATATTACACCTTATTCCATATTTGTAAAAAACGTGGGGCTGAATCAAGAAAGAACCTGAGGTTACTCGTTGGAATACTTTCTGGGCACTACAAACAAAACCATCTTGTAGAGGAAGTTACACGGACGATGAAACGGCACACCACATACTTTGTTGAATGCCTCGCTCTAGTCCAACTCAACGATCCATGTTAGGGGTGTCCTGACCGGACATGGCTACGATGATTAGAGCCGCCTCCCCTTCCAGCATCCTTAGGTTCATCCCACTTGTGGGATGGCTTAAGTGACGTTGATGGGTCGAACGACTCGCTAGTCAGATAGGTAGTACAAAGGGCCCGAATTTGAGCCGTAGGTACGCATGGACCCTGTCTACCTTCCTATCGTAATCCAGAATCAAGAATGGGTCACCGTCACAAGTATTTGATATCATCAAACATACATTCATTTTATTTCGTTGGTGGCCGTAAACGTAAAGGAGAATCTACGGGTACCTCTAGAGCGCACAGTTCGTGAATACACAACGTGGAGGCTGAGAGTCAAGATGACCACCAACATTTGTGTACGCGAGTTATGGGGTACCGTAAGACTATTTTCAATAGTTTGAACGGCACAATTCAGTAAGCATCGAGCACAAATGAGTGCCATTATTCTTATTCCATATCTGTAAAAAGCGTGGGGGCTAGGAGTCAAGTTGGCCCCAGAGATTTGAGTGCAGGAACTACCATGTAGCGGAAAACTATTTTCAAATATTTGACCGGCATAATCCAATATGCATCGAGCACAACTCGTTAAAGTAGTATTGGAATTTGTACGTTAAAAAAAACCGGG